AACCCGTCTGGCCAGCGTGGTATAGTAGGCCAAAACCTCCCTTCTAAGGAGAGGCCTATATCCATTAGTGGACTATTAAAGGCTGTTGATGTGATGATGATGTGTATCTATCTGTGTGTGTGTATGTAACAGACTTTTTCACCAACATTTAATCAATGACCAACAATACGAGACTGAAAACTAATACATTGGATGATTTATGACAAAGGAAAAACACTTCTTAACAGTTCAAAGTTGATGATTTTTAATTTAAATATATCATCATCTTAGCCGAAAGACGTCCACCCCTAAGGCTCTCCGTGAACAAAATTACCAATGACCATACCATGTACGGCTTCCCTAAGGCTCTCTTAAGGTCATGTGCTGCCCGCAACTAACTAAGCTTCCCATAACCTTCACCAGGTCGTCTGACCACTTTGTAGGGGTGCCTACCCACGCTCCATCTTCCGGGAGTTTAAAGGAAGAAAGAATTTAAATTGATTGATTATTATAGGATTGATTGATTGATTGTAATTGAATCAATTGAGAGATACAGAATACAGAATGTCACCACCCCTATTCATCCCGTGGGTGTCGGAAGAACCGACTAATGGACCAAACTACAAGACAACAGCACTGCAAAGAGAAGGAAAACTTGAAACAAACCCTATACCAACCCGTCTGGACAGCGTGGTTTAGTAGGCCAAAACCTCCTTTCCAAGGAGAGGCCTATGTCCAGCAGTGGACTAGTAAAGGATGTTGATGATGATGAAAGTTAATTAGTTATTAGATCACATATGTAAACGATTTAAATTCTTTATTTGTATTTTGAAGTCATAATTTAAAAACATTCACCAGCCACATCTAGTGGCTCTCTGCGTCTGTCTGTGTGTGAGTTATTGTTTTGTTTTATTTGTGAATGGATTCAATGTCTTTTCTAGTTCGAGGGTTATTCTCAGTAAATGTTGAATTATTTTTATAAGGTACTTTTAGTAGGGACATGGGTGATAGTTTATTATCGACTTGGTTTAAGATTAATTTATGAAATTACTTCCTCTGACTGACTGACTGACTCTTTAACGTAGAGCCCAAACTGCTGGGGCTACAAGTTTAGAATTTTGGCAGCTGATGTTGGAAAATATTTTTTTGAATTTTTACCACTAATTGGGTGAAATAAGGATGAATGGGTGGTTGTATGGAAGTTTATCATTTTAAAAGTTCGAAACACAATATAAAATAGTCGCAAGCAATAGCTGCGTAGTGTAGGACGCCCACAGGCCAGGTGGAGTGACGATTTGCGCTAGATGGCTGGCAGAAGCTGGATGCGAGAAGCCCAAAATCGATCTAAGTGGCGTGCAATGGGAGAGGCCTATGTCCAGCAGTGGACTGCGATAGGCTGATGATGATGAATAGCTGCTAGTAAATAATTCTTTACGAAGTTCATTCAAAACCGTCAATTATTGAAACTTTTTTAAAATAGGCTTTTCGGTAAAAGCATGGCGTAGATATGAGAAAAAAAACTGTGAACTGAGAACCTCCTTCTTTTGATATTGGTTAAAAAGTGAACATATATATATATTTTTCGAACATAATAATATATTCGGACATTTGACACATAACGCCTTCTAGTTTCAAACTAAGCAGAGCTTGTACTATGAAAGCTAGATTGACTAATAGAATACTTAGATGCATTTTTTTTGTAAATACATACATATTATACATAGAAAACACTTAAACTCCGAAACAAATATTTGCAGATCATACAAACATTCAGTCTGACCCGAGAATCGAACCCGAGACCTCAGCACAGCAGTCGCATACGCTACCACCACACCACCGAGGCAGTCATATAAGGGGCGTTGTAACGATTATTGAACAAGTGTATTTAGACCATCATTCAGAGTCCAAAATCATTAGATTTTTCTGCCGGAAAATTAAACGTTATGCAATCAGATGTCAAAGGTTTAGGTCATGACCCGTTGGTATCGCACAAAAATAGTAACTACATTTGTATTGCCTGCAAACAGTCTACGCACACTAACACAAGTAGGCGGTCTGCGTTCGGCTGTTTAAGTGTTTTTTTTTTAATTTATTACAATAATATACACGTAAACAATGTAGGTAAATAACATTTTTTGTTTTTTTTTGGTACTGTAAAACCACTAAGGTTTATGCTATTGTCTATGTATATATATATATATATATTGTCTATGTTTATGCTATTGTCTATGTGCTATGTCCATGTATATATTATATTATATGAACAAATATTAATAGACTTATAATTCAGTTTCATATGTACAATAAACAACGAAAGCTGTATTACCCTCGAATAAGATAAAAATTCCCAGCCTATTTTCATTTAAATTACATTACGATACAGTATAATTTGATTTACGAGGATCTTAATATTTCATAAAGGAATTTTCTTAGAAAGGCTTCTAACTTGTATTAAAAGGTTTTCAATATCCTGTATTACGTAGTTCACGTAACATACTAAGGTTTGTAATAAATATACGACCTTCCTAACGGTTGGCAACATTTTTATTAATAGACGCTTTCTACGAAAGGGCGTGATTTGTGCTCTGCTGACCCGGGACCTTTCTATATTTATCTGATCATTTCAGGCGGAATAATCTGTATAAAGGTCTAGTCTATATATATGGATAAAAATAGAATTTAATCGGTGTGGTGACGGATTATGAATACGGAATGTCACAACCCCTATTCATCCCGTGGGTGTCGTAAGGGACTAAACTACGCAGGATAGCACTGCAAACAGATGGAAAACTTGACACAAACCTTATACCAATCCGTCTGTCCAGCATGGTATAGTAGGCCAAAACCTCCTTCTAAGGAGAGGCCTATGTCCAGCCGTGGACTTTTAAATGCTGTTAGTGATTGATAAGAATTTTAATCGCATATCTACAGCATTAAAACCTTTATTACTTTAGCATGCCGAAGATTTAATAAAACTGGTAATATGTGTTGGAGAGCTCGGAACTCCCGACAACAGTGTTCGACTTTAACTTACTTGACCAATACCTGATACTCTATCTCTTTCCTTGTGTGGTCACTCACCTGTTGGTCTAGTGATTAGTGAACCTGACTGTTAAGCCAGAGGTCGAGGGTTTGATTCCCACCCACGACAAATAATAATGAGCACGATCATTTGTCCTGTGTCTGGGTGTAATTTAGCAATTCAGCTCGACCGGCTCAAATCGGTTTTAATCGGTGCTTAGCATTTCATTTATTACCTTTGACAGAATTAGTGAGGTTGCCGAAACCTAGAACCTCCCCATCCCCATACTGAGTGAAGGGGCCCTCAATGGGATCAGGTTTTTATTTTATTTAAAAAAAAAGACAACTCTCGCACTAGGCACATAAAACCTGAGTCGCCGGGGACTTTACAAACATACATGAAACGGACACAAAGAACTCCCAGACTCAGCACAACAATTAGTTGATCACACAAAGTGATGTCCCATGTGGGGATCGAACTCACAACACTCAGCGTAGTAGGCAGCGGTTAAACCGCTTAAACCACTACGCTATTCGTGCAGTCAGCAGTAACACCTAAAACATACGCTTAAGCAACTCTACAATCGCTTAATATTAAACAGTATATAAATTATCTCACTCAAACAGTTCACCTCTAAAACAATAAACCTCCCATCAACGTCACAATTCACAGCGAGATAATTGACAGACCTCATATCTGAGTATCAAGGTGTCACATGAAACGGAGGTGCCGGAATATAATTCTACAATAACAATTTAACACTACGAAAGACATCGTAATAGAGGAATTATGATGATAAACAGACTGTGCAATTCCTTTAACTAATATTATCGTTCGACTTTGGTTGTGAAAATTATACAAAATGTTTTTTTTATTCTTGTAATTGTCGAATCAAGTACACGTCTGTTCATGACTGGGCCAATCACAGGACGGTGTCAACTTGATAAACAGATCTGTCTACTAGATCCCATTTTCCTATCTGAGGATCCAGTATTCTAGCTGGTATCCTAAACCCCTCACTTTAATGGTGATCTTATTATTTCCATCTGAAAAGGATTGTTTGCCCGACGAGGTTTTGCAGCGGCCTTAAAAGTAACCTGCTTCTGGTAATATGCATTGTTGCATTGTGCTTACCCTAAATAAAACTGGTCAACGGGCAGAAAGATGATGATACAGAATTGCTATGTCCTCAAAATGTAAAGGTCTCAAGACTTTGGACTATTTTCTAGTATCCACAAAATAAAATTCATGGATGCTAAAAATTAAAAAGCAATAATAGCGCCACGTAGTAAAAAAAATTAGAAAAAAAATTTTTCAAATTCATACGTAAATTTTCCTACTGATTGAAAAAACGGCTTCCACACATAGGTACTCCACAATTGTAGGCATAACCACCTTTTATGATTTCGGAGGGACAAAACTAGTGTTTCAAACCACCGTTTTATTGAAAATAAAAACGGTGGAGGTCTATGGACCCCCGGTCGAAACGAAGTTCTTTTCGCTTTTTCGTAGACCCTTTCCTATATTGTCGAAAAAAGTCTTGTTACACTTATTTCGGTCTCGCACCCGTAACGCGCGATAAGGAACTTCGATAAGCTAGGTACTAGGAACTTTCCAATAAGCTAGGTACCATATAGCTTACATAAAACGTAAATCCATTTAAAATTTATTTATTATAAGAACTTTACAAACATAGAAATGGATAGAATAAATAATTACTATTCAGCCAATTCTCGTTTTATGATTAGTACCTTATATCTCACAAAATACCATCTATTGAAAAAGAAAACTACGCCATAATTTCACTGTGCACGTTTACACACAGATAAACACTCCAACCGTTCTCTTAATAGACATTACAGAATCCGCCTCACTTTTTTACCGCACCGAGAGACAGCGACTAGGAAATTGTTTACTTATTTATTTATTTTTGGAAAGCAACTATAAAAGCCTCCATAGCTCCCTTTCTGGCTTATTGCGCGAAACGTCACCATCCAAAATGTATCGAAAACTAACAATATTCGTCACTTTGTGTGGTTTTACAATTGGTTCATTTCTAGACGGTGATATAGATTTAGCTGATGGTGTTAAACTAGTGAAGATAGAAACGAACTCCATAGAAGATGGGAGCAGATCTTTTGGTGACAACTCGGCCTTGACTCGTATGGCGAAGTTTCTGGAAGGGCACGAGTTGCATGTTAGGTTGCCCAATTTGATTGAGAAGGAACGTGTGACGCAGTACTTGGCTGATACTTTGAAGTTGGTGGATAGCAGCTACAAGGAAAATGCAGGTATGTGATGATTTTCTATCGTGGTGTTTTGAAATTTGATAGTCATGAACGCCGATTGTAGACCAGCAATTATTTTTTTAAATAATTGTTCATGTTATCATTATATTATGAAAAATAATTTATTCATAAAAATTCAATTAGACATAACTTTCTCGCCAAGCTACACAGCTTGTTGGCCAGATACGCTCGTTAACAACTTTATATTAACGATAAACACCTTAAAACTACATTAGATAATATATTAGTGTCTCTACATAGCACATAAGTTCTATGTACAATCACCAACCCAAAGGCATGGACCTCACTGATAATATTGTCACCTTCGCCAAGCAGTAGGTTCTTCAACTTCAATTTTAACATCACATTAAAAGCATTTAATACTGGACATAAGCCTCTCCTCAAAAAGGAGGTTTTTAACATATTTTTATTAAATTTATGTTCTGTTCTTAACAATTATATTGCATTAAATATTTTAGAGACTAGATATTCAGACATTCTCTCTACGTAATAGTTATTAATTTTTTGTTCTAGCAGCTTTCTTTGTCTCACATTTCTTGTATTGTATAGATTATCAATTTTTATTTTGTAATCATCTGTATAATATGTTCTATGGCTATTAAAAGTACCTTGTAAATCTACTGGCACTATTTTGCATAAAGGATGTATTTCGTAGTTTTATTGCACATGGTTTTAACATTTTTATCAAGTAAACATTTAATAAACCTTGTCTGTTATACACTTTCTTTATTTACTATATGTAAAAAATGTCCGACCATTGAGCCCAAAACTAAGTATTAAGTTTGCAAGAGAGAGATATTTGAATATGTGCTTCCAGAAATTATGTGATAAAATAAATCTGATGCTTTAAAATGAGTTTTAATAGGTTGTGTATAGGTCATAAAATTGATAGCTACAAACATTAATAATATTACATTTAGGTACTGATTTATGTTTTTTTTTTTCTTGAAATATCTAACTTTAGTACAATTATTTTTGTCATTATATCTAGTAAATTATGTAAATTATCAATCAGTTAGTTTTTTTTTCAATTTTATACATTTGTGAATAAAACGGATTGAAATGGTGTGTTTTGTAAATTTTTAAAGAAAAACATGGTTTTTTGTATCACTTTAATTCACTAACAACACATTATGATATTCTTCAAGAAATAAATTTGCACCAGTTTTGTACACAGTCGCTAATTTGACAAACTTTGTAGGAAATAATTTGACATAAAATAATATTCTTACACATTTCACACACGGCCGTCTGATCCCAAACTAGTCAGAGCCCGTACTATGGTAACCAGACTGCTGATAAACATACTTATATATTTATAAATATATACATAATATAAATAAAGTACACCCAAACACAGAATAAATGACCCTACTCATCACACAATTATTTGTTCTGGGTGGGAATCGAACCCACGACCTCTGGAGTAGCAGTCATTGTCACTAACTACTAGACCAACAGGCCAGTCAACATACATTATCACACACGGCGATCTAATCACTAACTAGGCGGGAACTTGTGCTATGGTAATCAGATTGCTGATAAACGTACTTAAATATTTCTAAACACATGCGTGTTTTAGATAAATTACACCCAGACACAGAACAAAATAATGATCGTGCTCATCACACGACTATTTGTCCTAAGTGGGAATCGAACCAACAACCACTGTCCTACCATTACCATCACTAACCAACCACTAGACAAGAGAGAAGAACAACACGCAAGTCAAGGCTTTTAAAGACATGTTACATTACAAACAAAATTCAAGTATTCTTTTAAATTATTTTGGGAACGGTATTTATATAGGATAGAAAGTACCATTCCGCGATCGGTTGAACATTTGAGGCGCGAAAGCGTAACAAACAGACAGACAAAAAACAAACAAACACTAAAGAAACAAGCACACTTTCACTGTCATAAAATTAGTTAGAATTGTTTATTTACAATTAAAATATCAGATATATACCTATACTATATATCTGAGTCTATTTATTATTTTGTAGTAGATTTACGTTTAAGCTTTGAATGTGTTTGTCTGTTTTTAATCGAAAATGTGGCATATCTTTATATTCCGTGTGGTGACGGATTAAGAATACGAAGTGTGACCGCCCCTGTTCATACCGTGTGTGTCGTAAGAGGCGACTAAGGGAGCGAACGCAGGTTAAGACTTACTTAAGGGTCACTTGATGGTAAGTGACTACCGCTGTCCATTGACACATGGTAACAAATGCGTGACAGATCTTTGACCCCCCCCCCCCCCCCTACCCCCAGAATTAGGAACTCTGGTTAGCTCACTCACTTACTAAATAGCAACGAAAGATTGGCTTAACACACTTCTGTGAAGCCATGGTATCATTTCAGTCTTTTTTGTATATTGAAATGACTGCGCGGATGGCGTAGTGTTTTAAGCGGTTGAAACCCCACATTTGCCGACACTTTGTATGATCCACAAATTGTTGTTCTGAGTCCGGGTATTCTTTGTGTCCGTTTAATATATGTTTGTAAAGTCCCCCACGACACTGGATATATTTATAACGCGGGAGTTGTCTTATTAAAAACAATACATAAATATCAGAATCTAGGTTTGATGCAGACAAAACCACAGGTGAGTGGTATCCGAGGGGATTTCCGCACAGAAAAAAATGGTTTGATGCAGATATAACGGCAGGATATAGTAAGTAGGTATGTTATAAAAAAAATGAGTTTACAATTTCAATGGGAAACGATTGGAATGCTGATAACATCAACCGACTGAATGAATGTGGTTATTTGCGTGAGTTAAATTCTATTTGTTTGCTTCGTTTAGATGAAAAAAGTTTGAATTTCCCTGAATTTATTTGACCTAAACATATTCAAATGTATTCTATACTTTATTTTATAAATAAAATGAATGAATTCATGCATCAAACGAGTTATCTATATGGAAATGTTAATTGTTTTTTGTACGCGTCTGTCTGATGTTAGTACCTATAGTATAAACACTTTGTCGTTATTGGAGTCCACTTTTGTTTACTGTTATACATTATACAATGTGTATGTATGTATGTATGTACTTATTTATACACATATTATGTACAGCCTCGATCATAAGTATATTACTATATATAATATACATATCTGTCCCAGATACAAGTTCAATCATTTCTGCCTGCATTAACGCAGCAGTAATATCTGATCATTCATATAGATCGTATTAAATTGGCGTCAAAATGAGGTGACAGAAAAATTATTTTAAATAATTGTGTCAACCTCCCAAATAAAACATATTTTGTGATGACATTAGTTTGAAAATAAGGTGATACTCGTACCTCTCAGAGTATAAATATATGTGTTATTTACTATTTCTGTAAGCATTGATTCCTCAGTAATGGGCATAAATTGTTATAATTCAATAAATTCTAACATAGGACAAGGTGTTTGGTACCGAAAAGTCCGAGTCCTCTAACCGACCAAGCTTATAACTAATCATCATCATCAACAGCCTTTTATAGTCCACTGCTGGACTTAGAAAGGAGGTTTTGGCCTACTGTACCACGCTGGCCAGACGGGTTGGTATAGTGATTTCTTTGCAGTGCTGTTGTCCTGCGTAGTTTGCTCTTTTAGTCGACTCTTACGACACCTGCGGGATGTATAAGCATTTTTCTACAAATATACCAGGCCTATTTGCCTCGTTGTTAGTAATTCTGACTGCTAATTAGAGATCGTGGGTTCGATTCTCACCCAGAACAAATAAGTAAACGATGTAGTTGATAAATCGTAAACAATAATAAGATTACACCTTCTTGTTATACGTTGTCTAATGATTAGTCCGTGTGGTGACGGATTAAGAATACGGAATGTCACCACCCCTATTCATCCCGTGGGTGTCGTAAGAGGCGACTAAGGGAGCAAACTACGCAGGACAACAGCACTGCAAAGAGAAGGAAAACTTGAAACAAACCCTATATCAACCCGTCTGGCCAGCGTGGTATAGTAGGCCAAAACCTCCTTTCTAAGGAGAGGCCTATGTCCAGCAGGCAGGCTGTTGATGATGATGAATGATTAGAAGGAAGTATATGATAAAGTTTAGTTTCTTACTAGCACTAGAAACAAAATAAGAAATAAAACCAACCACTTTCATCTCGAAGCAAGCCTTCATTAAGAAGAGACGTGCGCTACGAGTTTTTTTTGCGGGCAATTGAGATAATCGTACAATGCTGCTCGCGTTGTAACGCAGCACATTTTTTGCCACACGACTCATAAAAAAACACTTTATGTGCGCTAAATATAACCCAGTTGATGGTAGCCGACATCGTAAAAACTTATTACAGAATTTTAATTAAGATTCCGTGATATTGTAGGTACTTCCCTACTTACGGAATAAAAATACCTTATTGAAATTTCATTTTAAAGTAAGTACCTATACAAACCGACCTATCACCATAAAATAAGAAAGAAATAAACACTATTGTGATTCTGTTAGACAGCAACCTGACGTATTTAAAGTAAATTCCATAATTTTCCCAATTTTTCTATTTTGTAATAAAATATAATAATAAAAAAATAACCTCACTAATCTCACACACGGCTCTCTGATCCCAAACTAGGCAGCGCCCGTGCTATGGTAACCAGACTGCTGATAAACATACTTACATATTTCTAAATACATACATACACAGAACAAATGATCGTGCTCATCATACAATATTTGTCCTGGGTAGGAATGGAACCTACAACCTCCGGCTTAGCAGTCAGGGTCCCTTATCACTAGACCGTCGTGAAAGGCATCTATGTACATTATTTATTATCATCAATCATTGTAAATCACCTGATTTTGATTGACCTGACCTGATTTCATCTTTCTCAAGTTATATTAAAACTAGATTCTGCCTGTATTTTTCTCTATTTCGTATAGATAAGCTTTTCATTTTTTGAATAGCGTTAAAAAACATTCCGTAGATACTACATTGATAAGACTGAAATATGAAATTTGTTTCTTATAAATTATAAAAACCAAATAATAAAAGTGAATTTATTATTTGTCAATAGTAAGTTGTGACGTCTTAACTCATTTTATTAATTTCTAAAGAAAAGCATCGTTTTAACGTTTAATAAAGATTCTTCGATGTTCTGTTCATGAAGGGTTTTCAAATCACTCTGCTCTGAAGCAAATGGTTGACAAAACTTGACTCTTTTCACGTAGAGACTATTTGTTTTCTATTAACCATTTGTGTGACGGATTAAGAATAAAGAGTGTCACCACCCCTATTCATCCCGTGGGTGTCCTAAGAGATGACAAAGGGAGCAAACTAGGCAGGACAACAGCACTGCAGAGAGTAGGAAAACTTGACACAAACCCTATACCAACCCGTCTGGCCAGCGTGGTCTAGTAGGCCAAAACCACCTTTCTAAGGAGAGGCCTATGTCCAGCAGTGAACTAGTAAAGGCTGTTGATGAACCACAAAATAAACAAGAAAGTTTATGAAAATGTAAACAAATAACTTATAATATGGTAGTGAATTTCCCGTATACCAAAATTTCCGTTACTTACAAAGGGCTCTATCTAAAATCACTTCACATATTTGGGTTCTTTATCTTTGGTAATAAATAAAATAGAAGACAGAATAAAGGCTAAAGTGTCAGCCCACATTTATCAAAAGATTTTCATAAAGATATATTTTCAATGTAGTCTAAAATAACCATATATTATGTTGCAAGAGACGTTGAGAATTTCTATGTATGAATTATGTGTTGAGCATGAATGGTTGGTATGTGATAATGTTGCTCAGAAAACTCGAATGAGTTTATGTGGAATCATGAAGCTTTTGTACTGCTTTTGTAACTCATCATTAGTCTCTTGGGTTTGTTCCGTCTTGTTTAAGACTTAATTACAAATGTAAAGATTTGTTTTAGGTATAGTTGCAGATTGAAACGATGTTTCTTGCTAAATTTCATAGTTCTAGGTCAACAGAAAGTACTCTATGAATCTTGATTCAATTGAGAGTGTCGAACTATGCATTTTTTGCAGCATAAATGGGGTATCTTTTTTTTACTAACTAGCAGTTTAATTTTTTAACAGCTGCAAGGGATTGTAGGCATGAGTATATGGTTTTAATTTTTTTTTTTTTATGGAATAGGTGGCAAACGAGCAGACGGATCACCTGATGGAAAGCGACTAAAGCCACCCATGAACGCCTGCAACTCAGGAGTCACAAGCACGTTGCCAGCGTTTGAGGAATTTCAGCTCGATACCTCCATTTATTTATAAAAAGGGTCTTGACAGACGGACAGACAGAAAACAAAGTGATCTTGTGAGGGTTCTGTTTTTTTCCTTTTCACAGATCTCTAAAAAGTTAATTTCAAAAATAAGTGTTAATAGAACTATTTTTGCACAATAAAACATTAATGAAGCAGCCTTCAAATTTTAATCTCCTAAGATAAGCACGTCATTTTCCTGGAATAGATTTCTCTCTCTAAGCCAAGAGACAATGGGTAGGGAACAACAGTAATAGAGCTTCTGCTTTTTTCTTGATTGTAAGCTATTCAAAAATACACGATTTGTCTAGAAGTACAACCATGTATAACTATGTGCCCCACAATAATGTCTGTATAATTTCTAATGCTTTGTTCCTTTTTTTTACGCGGTAGCGTCTCTGTCACAACATTTAGAAGAATATATATCAGGGATTCCAAATATGTTTATTTCATTGAATATAATTATAAAATAACGTAGATATTGAGGTAATAATGACTTCGCTCAGCTGTGACTGGGTCACTAGGACCAAGGGCAAGGTTCAAGGGCGCGACAGTAACGGGTCATAGGTCATCCGCGCGCCGCGACGTCCTAAGAGTTAAAGATCTTTGTGTTGTTATTTAATCGAACCTTAAACCAATTATTTCGTAATAATAATGGAGCTTAAGTTTATTATGTGAATTCTTTAGTCTGTTAACATACTCATATAAACTTTGTAATAGAACGTTGTGTATAGTTATAACTGGACTTCAGATTTAAGTATTGTATATTGTCAACATAATTGTGTATGTGATAATCTGTTACTGTACCTATTAGATAAAATAAAATAAAAATATAAAGAAAAAAATTATTTCAATAACAATGATTACTGCCATATTGTATACAAGTTTTTGGCCGCGGCTCCGCCCGCGTGTATGTCGGTTGTCGTGGTAAAAAGTACCCTATGTCCTCAAGAATAAAAGTATCTCCATGTCAAATTTAATTAAAATTGGTTTAGCCGTAAAAGCATAACAGACAGACAAAGTTTTTTTCGTCGTTCATAATATTAGTCGAGATAAGATCAACATCTAAAGAAAAATATTGAACTGGTATCCTTTTAATTTTTTCAGCTACTGGTAGAGGCAAAGGCGGCGGTGGTGGCGGCGTGGCAATCATTGGTATGATGTTCGCGAAGGCGATGGGTGCTATGGGTCTAGGAGGCGTCGGGTTTCTCACTATGAAGGTAAGAAATAGATAGTTTCAACGTTAGAACCACAATTAACGAACTTTTAAACTGTACGTTCCATGATTTACAGATATTAGTTTCGGAATTAACGCAATCAGAGGGCCAAGTCAGAGTTAATTCCACAATATTTTTCGTTTCGATTGGCCCGCACTAACCTCTTCACCACCGAATACGGTCCCCTGTAGGTATAATAAGTATATTACGTACCTTTCAATTGTTATCTGTTTTGCACCAGTCTGTACTGGCAGTAGTCGCCGGAGTGCCTTAGTGGTACACGTACTCCGTCTTCCGCTAGAATGTTCTTAATCCACTCGCATGGTTTCAATATTTTTATATTTGTGTTTCACCATATACCGTGACATACTTTAGTCAGAGATTCCTCATTCTGTTGAACGCGGATAATCTTTCTCATTCTTATTCTCTCTTAATCCGTCACCACACGGTGAAATACAAATACAAAGTGTCACCACCCCTATTAATCCCGTGGGTGTCGTAAGAGCCGGACTAAGGGAGAAAAACAGTACTGCAGAGAGAAGGAAAACTTGACACAAACCCTTTTTTTTTTTTTTTTTTTTTTTTTTTTTACGTGTGGAAATCCCCTCGGACCGTCACCCCTCCGGGGTTTGCGGCGGGCTGGTGTGTCGGACGCGGACCGACTAAAACCACACGGTGTGCCACTCTGCGCCTGTAACAGGAGGGATCCGGGAACAGCTGTTGTTAAGACATCCGGACCCCTCCTAGCGCCAGCCCGCTCCTGGTGCGGGCTCCGTCTCAATGTGGATGTTCCTCTCTTTAGGCGACGTCCGGCACACGCGGACGCCGCCCCCTCGCGGCTGGCCAACTAATGCGGGTGGAGGGGAAACCCACCCCGTCCACCCGCGGCCACACTCAGGGCGGCATGAGGCTGTGGTAGGCGGTAGATCGGGTCCGAGTGGAGGTCGTCCTCCCGGGCCCTCTCCGCCGCCTCCTTCCGCGAGATTACTACCTCGCAGAAGGTTGCGACCGCGGTAAAACAACTGTCGCTACCGGCCATGGAGCGTACTACGGCCGGTAGCGAGAGATCCACTCCGATGACTGCAGTGAGGGCCCGGCGCTGCGCCGCCCATGCGGGGCAGACCGCCAGCGTGTGCTGGGCCGAGTCCTCACTGCAGTCGCAGTGGTGGCAGGCGGGACTCAGTTCCCTCCTAGCGACCGTGTGCAGGTACCTTCCGAAGCAACCGTGCCCGGAAAGCACCTGCGTCAGTCGGAAGGAAAGGGTCCCGTGCTGCCGCCCTGCCCACTCGGCGATGACCGGCTGGAGAGCCTCCACGGCGGCGAAGCCAGCGCGTGGAGTCTCCAGCCGGAACGACCAACGAGCCATCGTGGCTCGGCGAGCGGCTTCGCGCCACTCGCGCACATCCTCGGGCGGAGGGCGAAATCCGCTCTCCGCCCGGAAGTCAGCCACTCGCCGATAAACTTCGGCGAGCACTTCCGCCTCCAAATCCCACGGGGGAGTTCCGGCCAACGCGCATGCCACCTCCGTAGAAACGGTGCGGTAACCGCGTATGGCTCTGACCGCCATTACCCTCTGAGGGCGCCAGAGGCGTACCCTATTCTGGGCGGTCAGAGCCGCCGCCCACACCGGTGCACCGTACAGCGCCATTGACCGGACAACCCCCGTGTACAGCCGTCTTGTCGCGACGCTGGGTCCACCCATATTGGGCAAGAGTCGCCCTAGGGCAGACGCAGCGCCGACCAGCTTTGGAGCAAGCTGTCGGAAGTGCTCGTCGAAGAGCCACCTCCCGTCGAGGATCAGGCCCAGATATTTCATCTGGGCCCGAACCGGTACGAGGACCGAGTTGACCACGATTGAGGCGCCAGGGGGTGGACCACGACGGGGCCCATGGAATAACAGGGCCTCCGTCTTATCTAGGGCCACCCGTAAGCCCAGCGCCTCAATGCGCCCGACCACCAGGGAGACTCCCCCTGTGGCCAGGCGCGCCGCCTCTTGGAAGTTTGCCCCCCGGGCTGTCACGAGGGTATCGTCTGCGTAACAGATTACACCCAGCCCGGGGGGGAAATCGGCGCGAAGGGCCCAGTCGTACCCTATGTTCCACAAGAGGGGTCCAAGAACAGACCCCTGTGGAACACCGCACGACATGGGCCGACTCCTCAAATTACCTTCTCGGTCCTCGTACACGACGGTACGCTCCTCTAAGTAGTCTGCCACTAGCCGCCTCAGGTACTTTGGCACCCCATGATAGTGGAGTGCTTCCCTGATGCAGCTGAATGGCAGACTATTGAATGCGTTGGCGATGTCTAATGACACCGCCAACAGCACGCCGCCACAGCTCACTGCCTCTTCGGTCACGGCCCTCAGGCGCAACACGGCGTCGACTGTCGAACGCCCCGCCCGAAAACCAAATTGGGCGTCCGACAGATCGGGGCCCACCTCGCAGAGGTGCCGGACGATGCGGGCAGAAAGAACCCTCTCAAACAATTTGCCCGCCTCGTCCAGCAGCACGATGGGCCTATAGGCCGCGACCGAATCGGCAGGCCGTCCCGGCTTCTGCAGCAGGACCAGCTTCCCGCATTTCCAGCGCTCAGGGAAGCGTCCGGACGCCAGGCTAGCGTCCAACACCCCCCTGAGGTGGTCCGACATGTAGTCGAGGGCTCGGGCCATCACTCGGGCTGGAACCCCGTCCGGCCCGGGGGCGGTGTTCTTGGATCGAATCCGTAGAACAGCCGCCCCCAACTCCGATTCCCTGACGGGCGGAACATCGACCTCGCTGCCCCCGTCGTCTCCGGCTGATGCAGCCATCGACGGGGGTGTGTGCTCCGCTCGCTGCGGGAATAGGCCCTCGACCACTTCCTGCAGGAAGCTGGGCTGGAGAGTCTCCGTAAGGGGGGGGGCCCGACGCGCGGAGCTTTTGTCGCACCGCGCGGTAAGGGCGACCCCAGGGGTCACGATTAAGACCCTCCAGCATCTCCTGTCTTTTTTCCTCTTTGGCGCGGCTAATGGCCAGCTTCAGAGTTTTCCGCGCCCGTCGGTACTCCTCATGAAGCCGGTCCTCCTCACCGTCTCCACGGTGACGCCGCCGACTGCGCGTGTAGGACCTCCGGGCACGTGTACAGGCCGCACGGAGGTCCGCCAGCTCCTGGGACCACCAGTAGACCTCCTTCCTTGGAGGCCGACGACCTCGAACGCGGGGCATGGCCGCATCGCATACATGCGTAATCGCATCGCGAAAGCGGCCAGCCCCCACGTCGACCTCCTCGGTCGGAGCCTGAGGAGACAGCCACGAGTGAATTATGGCTGCCTCCTCTAGTAGGTCCCGGTTCAGCCTGGCAACAGCCCACCGCGGAAAGCGGGATAAACGCCGCGCCACGTGACCCCTACTGGAGTCCTGGGTCCGGGAGAGCTCAAATCGGATATACAGGTGATCCGAGAGCGTCTCAACCTCTTCCAGGACACACCAGTTCCTTACTCGTGCGGCGAGGACAGGGGTAGCGAACGAAAGGTCCACTATCGACCCCCCCTGCTGTCGCACGCACGTGTTGGTGGAGCCTCTGTTTAGAAGACAGAGGCCCACCGAGGCCGCCCACTCCTCTACGGCCTCGCCCCTGGCGTCCGTCCTGGGGGAACCCCACGCAATGGACTTTGCGTTGAAGTCCCCCAGCACAAGGACGTGCCCAGACGCTAGTCGCCGTATCGAGGTCTCCAAGCTGGTTAGGAAAACCTCGAAGTCGTTCAAACTCCGGTTGGGGGAGAAATAGACACCATATATGGTGATCCCCCCCCACTCGACGGCAACATATCCAGTGCCCTTGTCTCTTAGCGACAAGGGCGGGGAATGAGCCGTCGTGGAACCGACGACTGCCACGGAGCCGTCCCAGTCACCCATCCAGTTTGGACGGGGAGGGACAGAATAGGGCTCCGCGACTACGGCAACACCTATCGACCACTGTGCCATGGTTTGCAGGAAGAGATCCTGCGCCGCGGCACAGTGGTTCAGGTTCGTCTGGACCAGGAGGTTGGAGACTTGATCCATTACATGATCGTCTCTACAACCTCCTCCATGGGCGACGACGTCGACGCACGAACTACATCGGAGGCAGCCTGGGTCGACTGGCTAACCCCCGACGTCTGCCGAGAACTGCGGGGAGGCTTGCAGCCTCTCTGACCCATCTGGTGATTGGCGGGCTTATTGCCCGCCGCACACACTGGGCAGTGAGGGGCGGCAGAGCATTCTGCCGCCTTATGCCCCGGTTGACCGCAGCGGAAACACAGTCCGCCGCAGTCAAAACAACTGTCGCACTTGACGCGCGTGTGTCCCGATGCTAGGCATTTGTAGCATCTCATCGGTCTCGCCGCCAGGACTGTGATCCTTCCGCTCACGAAACCGATGAGCAGCCTGCCGGCGTCGGCCAATACTTTGGCCGACGCTACGGGACAGCTGACCCACACGGCGCCAAGCCCTCCTGGACCGGGGCGGATGGTGCCGACCCTGACGTTGTCCGCGCTGCACCCCGTCTTCTCCCGGATTACAGCGCGGACATCTTCGGCCGTCACTGAGTCGTCCAGGCCCGAGATGCGCAGTTCCGCGCACTTGGTAGGCCTGGCGACCCTGACACCATCTGTGGCTGCAAATATTCCCCGCAGCTTCTTGGCGAAGGAGTCCGCCGTCTTTGCGCCTTCGGCCCCAGGGAACTCGAGAACTCGAGCTCCCGTCTGGGCGAGGCGCATCCTGACCCCCACCGTCCCAAACTCGTTGGCGAGGCTGTCCCGGGCCTTCTTGAAGACGGCCGCATAGGACAGCCCGCCGTCAGCCGCCTCCGGGGACACGGTCACAACAACAGCCGCTGTTTTGGGCGGCTGCAGCTTCCGCGGCCTCTTTGCAGAGGCCGTTGCCACCGGTGGCGAAGGCTGGGCTTGGGCTGCTTTTTGGGCAGCCTTTCTGGCCCGCCTTCGGGACTTCTTGGAGCCCCTCGCCTCCTGCCAACCCTCGTTGGAGGGG